CTTCCTTCCTTCCTTCCTTCCTTCCTTCCTTCCTTCCTTCCTTCCTTCCTTCCTTCATTCATTCCTTCATTCCTTCATTCCTTCATTCCATTGTAATCAAAGACTAGTACATAAAATACATGGCAGGGATCTAGTCTAACTCAGCAATGCCTGGAACAATGCCTGCTTCCTTCCTTCCTTTCTTCCTTTCTTCTTTTCTTCCTCTTTTCTTTTTGATTTTGGTCAGCCACCTCTGAATTTTTTTAACTCATGCTAACCAACCTATATTCTAGATAAGTAGGTAGATATACAACAAAAATATTGGAAAAGACTGTTTTATCCATCATGAAATAAAGATAAATATATTAAGTATCTCTTCTCATTTTGTATGACCTGCAAATTTATTGAATAGGCTTTTTATAGATTCATTTATTAATTTAAAAATAAATGTTAAAAATTTTATTGGTCACATTTCTATATAGCAGGCACTGTTTTAGGCACTGTTGAGTTAGACAAGAACCCTGTCATAATGTACTTTATGTGCTAGTCTTTGCTTAAAATGTTTATAAGGACTCTTATTAAGAGCCCTAGAGCACATGGTCAGGACAATTTTGAAGTATTATTCAATATTCACAACTGTAAATCCACCAAACTTTATTCTTTTCTAGCCATCATTATCATGTCCATAAAATTTTGAGAGATTTTCTCAGATTTCTTGCTAAAATAAAAATGTTTAATATTTGTCATATTTTCTTGACCAGGAACCCCTTCCCAAAAGGGTTTTAGGTTACTCTACATGGTCTGGTCTTGTCCCTTAGGAAACCCATACTGAGTGCCTAAGTGTTTAAGAACTGTTTTAAAAAATACATTCTAGAAATTTTGTCAAGGATCATTGATAAAATTCACTGTTCTGCAGCTTGCATGGTCTACCTCTCTCTGCACTTTTTTTTTTTTTTTTAATTCCAAGCTAACTTAGCCTGCCACAGTTTTCTGGCAGCTCATTCGAGTTTCTCTGGTGTATCAGTTTGGATGTGTTCTGCTCTCCAAATTCATGAGATCTATGGCTAGAGAGGGCCAGTCCTTTAGTATCATCTCAGGGCTCTCCTCTCTGCTTAGCAGACTACACCTTTAGCTCCTACTGAGCCATAGTTTTCTTTTCTTTTTCCATTTAAAGATATCTCATTCTTTCATCCATTCAACCAGTATTTATTGATTGCCTACTGTATGCAAGGCACTATAACCCAGCTCTCTGTCATTCTCATTGATGTAGACAGAAACAAAAGGATCCTGTGGTTCTCTTTTCTTTGGATTGGATTGACTTTTTCACAGGAAGTTACCTGACTTACGGAATGTGTGAGAAAGATAGGGTAGAACAAGAGATGCAAGCCCCTTGCCTAGAGTATGTCTGTGCAAATTCACAGGAAAGTCACAAACTCAAGAAAGTTGGACAGTCCTTCACTATTAAAGCATAGAGTCAATGCCGGAGTCTGTCAAGTTCACTAAATATCTAATCGATATTTCTGTGGGTCTCAGCCTGTGCTCGGTACTGAAGGATAGTGGCAAGTTATAGTTTGTGACCTTGGCAAGACCCCCCAAACTCCAGTAATATATCCCTTGTCTACCTTATCAGTGTTGTTGTAAAGATTGAGAGATAAAGTATGTCAGTGACGTGTGAATTGTAAAGTGCTCTATAGTTGTAATTGCTTGTTAATTTGTTTATAATTCAGCATGTGCTTCCTAGGTATCAGGCACTCTGCCAGATGCTGGAAATACAAAAGTGAATATGTATGGTGTAGCCCCTCAACAGTGCTCCTAGTCAAGTAAGAAGACAGAACTATGAACAAGGCATCTTAGTACAGAATAGTAAATGCAAAGGTAGATGTACAAAGATGTAGACAGCGCTAATACAGGTAGTGATGAGCTCTACCTCAGGGCAGGCTGGTGTCTGGAAAGTGTCACAGGGTAAGTGACTTTGAATTGGGTCTTAAAGATGAATCAGAAATTGCCAGGCCAACTGAGAGAGGGGGGATATACCAAGCAGAAGGAGCCACATATGCAAAGACATGGGGTGGATGGGTGACAGCAGGCAGAATCATCTGTCACAGTGCTCTGAGAGGAACAGCAAGACGTAAGAGTAAAGAAGGAAGTAGGATTCCACGTGGAAGGGAACTTGTAAAGCAGTTCTAGGGAGCTCACAGTGTTTTCTGAAAGCCATCAAAAGATTTTAAGCGGTGTAATGCTCACCTTACATTCACATTTTAAATGGACCATTCTGACAGAGTGTCAGGGAAGGAATTGGAGGGAAGAGATTAGCAATGACTCTTGACTTTTAGGGGATGTTAAAGAATTGAGAATTGGAGGTACTGAGCGACAAACCACTCAAGGGGCACTGAGAGAGGCTAGATGTCTGCCCACCAGGGAGTCTATAAAGGGTATTCTTGCCCTGGGACATTGGATTATATGGCCTCCAAGGTCCCTGTCAGCTGTGTGATATTTAAGGTTCTAGAAACTAAGCTTACCATCAGAGCAGGTAATGTACTTAGAAGAAGTGGGATTTGAACTGGGCTTTGGCGGGGAGGGAGATAAAAAGATATTATAATCAGGGGACACAGCTTGAGCAAAGGCATACAGAGGGGACACATGGGGAGGAAAACATGAAGATCACAGCTACTTCTCTACCAACTCATCCTCTGGTCTTGACCACATTCCATTCAATGCCTTGAGCCCCACCCATGCCCACTCCAGGAGAGTTCCACTTGTGGCTGGCTGATGGGTGGTGGGCCCCAATCCTCAGGTGGAGGAGGCAGTAAATTAGTGGTAACAGAAAACAAGTTGCCCAGCCGGGGATGCCTCTGGCTGCTTGTAAGTAACTGTTATGAACATTGGGTGTCTGGTGCTGTCAGAAATGCAAGCGAGCACTCTGAACGCCTCTCATATGTACAATTAAAACAATAAAACATGGCAGAAACGTGGCTGGAGCATACTATAAATCAGCTTCTCTTCTCAGCTCCAAGTGGCAGCTGAATAAAGATGAGTTGTAGAGAAACTGGATTGGCATAGGCCCTTCTGGAGAGAGAGGGTAGTGGGCCTGGCTTTCTAGGCTGGACCTGCCATAGTCAACCCCACCTGCCCAGGTGACCCTTTCCTACAGCTCCAGGAGCTACAGGTCCTGTCCTGCTGCAGCTGACCTCCCCATCTCTGTGTCTTCAGATGGGGGACAGGACGGTGCAAGCTGGCGCATCACAAACCAGTGGACAAATGCCCTGGAGTTCAGGAGATGGCTAAGAGTCCCCACTGGCGGTAATGGAACTGCTATAATACTTCTCCCCATCCCTGGGACATGCCAAGGAGTGGTCTCATCCTAGCTCATCTATATAGTATAAGTTAACCATCCAGCACCCACTGCATGCCCAGCCCAACCCAGGTGTGGCAGAGAGGATGTATGCCCTGGGAGGGCACAGACTTAGATGGGAGTAATAAGGCTTGCAAGGAAATAAAAATCACCTAGAGAGCTTGTTAAAACAGAATCCTGGGCTGCACTCCCAGAAATGCTGATCCAGTAGGTCTTGGGATGGGACCTGAGATTTTGTATTTCTAACAGGCCCCCATTTCTTGAGTAGCATAATCTAGACTACAGGTGTTAGTTGTGGCCTTGAGCTTGAACTGCTTTAAAAAATTCATCTGGACCTTCTTCTCCCTGGAAGAGACCTCATTTTGCCACTTTAAGCTTTACTCCCAGAGAGGCTGTGTGCTTATGCCATGGTATTATGAGTGTACAGAGCAATTTTCTGTACCTCAGAGGCTCTGTCTCCTTATTTGTAAAATAAAGAGTTAGAGATAGTATATTTATCTCTAGCCTAAAACATGGAACATAGAAGGAATTCTATTAATGTAAATTTCTGTTTTTATATCATCATCTTCATCATACTCTCATGGAACTTCATGAGAACGTCATGAAGTCTTTGACACAGCCTTCCAAATGCTTTTCAGTGGTAGCAAACTATTATCTTCAAAGAACCAAACATTATTTAAAGTCCAAAGAATGGCTATCACCTGACTGCATGACCTTGGACAGATCTCTTTATCTGTCTGAGTTTTGATTTTCTCATCTATAGAAAATGTTTCCTATATCATAGGTTTATTATAAAGATCAAATTGAACTACTTATGGAAGAACTTGAGAAAATACAAGGCATCATGCAAATATAAGATACTAGCAAGAACAGTAATTAATAATCATTAAAATTGAAGACATGACCAAGATAATATTCGGCGAGGATCCAGTCAGAGATACGGATAACAAGGACTATCAGAACTCAGTCAAGGAAATAAAATGATATTTGAGCCTTGAAGTATAAGAAGGTTTTATGGAGGGCCTGTCGGTGGGTGCAGTTGGGTGTGAGCCAAGAAGAGGTATGTTTATGTCCAAAACATTCAGAGATGGGAAACAAAAAAAAATGTTTCAGGCCAGCAAGTGAACTTGTTAGGGTGAAGCATGCACACAGCAGGATTTGTTTTAGAGAATAATGAGCAGTAAAGACACCATAAACTGGATCCAGAGCAAATGCTGGGACTTTATATCCTTTAGACAAAGAGGAGCCTTGAGGGTCCTAGAGAAGAGGGCACTGCAGGACCTGATTCCTTCCAGACTGGAGAAGCAGGAAGAGGTGATAATAAGATGACAATGATGGTGATAGCTGTAGCAGCAGTAGGCAACATTTATTGATACTTGCTGTGTGCTCACAGCAACCTTATGATGTAGGCATTAAAGACACTGAGACAGAGAGATAATGCCAAATACCAGCAGAACATCTCTCTTGTAGAGAACCCAGCAACCATATCAGCCTGTGTGTGCCCCACACGTAGTCAGCTCAGAACCTCTGGCTTGTTCAGAGTCTTGGAAGGCTTGGGAATCTGCCAAGCCAAAAGCTGTTTGGGTAAGTTATTATTTTTCATAATGTCCCTGACTCTTCCTCATCATTGTCAGAGCCTTGTCGCACCTCCAGGGCCAGTGGTTCTGCATGTAATTTCTCAGCAGTGCTGGCCACTATAGAGTCACCAGGATGGACAACACACTGTCAGTCCATCAGGGCTTTTTGCTAACTTCAAGATTAAGTGCATCAGCCAGTTAGGTTAATTGTGTCCATCCTTCTCCCCCTACAAACCTGTATATATATATTTGACTAGGAGAGGGAGATAGACTAGTTGACATGTTTTATTTAAAAGAATAAATTTGATGCATTTATAAAAATAAGAAAATGTGGGATGGGCTGGCAAAGAACTAGTATGATTTTTAACTGATTTACATATTTCGTGTATAAATATTTTTTCATCAAAAGTTCCAAATCAGGGATAGGTCCCACACACCACACAAAATATATTAGAGACATTTATATGGATAGCAGGAAGGGAGACAGAGGGCTGAAATTTTCCAGGCACCCAGTGATTGATGGGGGCTGAGGCTCCCCCTGACGCTTTATTGAGTTTCCGATGATTATCTCTCGCTGAGACATTTTTTACAGATGACGGTCGAGCTGTCACAATGGACCATGGGGGAAAAAAACCAACAATAATAACACTTTAATCTTTTTACTGCACTGCTCCCTAGTATCTCAGATTCATCTTCCCTGACGCACGCAGTTCATTATTCTGCCCCTCCCTGGATGGGAAATAAAGGAAAATAAATATATATGTAGACACACTTACCCACATACATACACACACACGGAGTGTATAAAAGAGACCACCTCAGAACCAGAGAGGGGCAGAATTTATTGTTCTTTTTGCAAGTGTTGAGGTTTATTAGTAGAGATGCTGGGTTGGCTTGGAATTGGCTATTAATTACAGCATTTTGTATTTGTTTTTTATTGGAAGTTTTTAACATCTTGAAGAAAAAGCAGAGGAGAGACAAGCAGGTGTAGAGATGGGAGCACAGAGGGACCAAGTTTGGTCAACCAAGTAGCATAGCCGGCTGAGAGGCAGAGAGAGCAGTCTCCTTCCTCTTGTTGCCAGCCCTGCCTAGAGGATTTCTGGAGCTGTAAGAATACTGCTTTGGTTAGGATGAGGATAGGTGGGGGTGACGGGGAGAGGGCGAACTCAAAGTATAGGACAAATCAGAGGGAACCTAGATACCTGTGAGCATGTTACTTCTCTGAGAGTTACAAGAGGGGGAGAGCAGGGGAGGTTCAAATAGGGTACTGAAGGGTCTATAGGTAATAGTAACAGATTCTTAAGAGTTTGCCTTATCTTTGAATTTTTTTTAAAGTAGTCAAAATGGTATAATGAACTACCATGTACGATCAGCTACCTTCAATATTTAATAACATGGTCAATGTTGTTTTATCTATACTCCCCATCTACTTCCTCCCCCCACCTCCCGTATTATTTTTACCATCTCTGGGACATATCAATAGCAATGTGTGGATCTAATTTAGATCCTGATTCAAACAAATTATAAAATTGACATTTATAAGACAGTTGGAAATTTGCATATCTTTGACGGCATGAAGGTGAAACATGGGCTTTGGAAAGCTCCACCTGGGTGCGTGGTCAAAGGAGGGATCCTGGGTCAGAGAGGGTGCCACACTAACTGTCCAGAGCCACAGGCAGGGTCAACAGCTTGTCTTAAAGTTCGAGGTCAGCTTTCCTGCTCTCCCCCTTCGCTTTCATGGGAACGTGAGAAGATGGGCTTGGGGTTCCTTCTTGTGAAAGACTGTACTTACTGTGTCTCCAGTAAAGTGAGTGCTGACTCAGTCTTCTCTTTAACTCATCAAATCTTTTCTGAACTCCAACTATGTGCCAGTTCCCATGCTACACTCTGATAAAGTAATAATGAGGTGAGCATGATCTTCTTTTTAAGGAGAAATCTTCTAGTCCTTGGGCAAAGAGCATGGTGTATCTGAGAACCATTTTCAGACAAGGTCTGGTCCTCCAGCTATAGGCCAGCCTTCTCTGTGTGATGGATAAAGAGATCTACAAGACACACTAGCTATCCTTTAAGAACCTGCTTGGGGAAACATTTTAACAACCATTCACTAAAGAAGTATTTATTGAGCACCTGCCATGTTCAAGAGTATACACTTGAAGCAATCTGAGAACACACAAGACTATGTAAAAGATATTAATTTGATTAAACTAGACATTACTAGAATGTATAGAGGAAAGGGAGAATCCATAAAAATCAGACTGCTTAATTTGTAAAGGATAGGTAAAACATTGATAAGTAAAAGGGAAGAATAGTGAGGCGTATAGGGAAAAGAGTACAAGCCTTGAGGTTGAACAGACCAGCTCTGTCATTGACTATTGATATGACCTGAAACAAGCTACATAACCTAAGTTCTGGTTTCTTCATTAGTATGGTTCTTATGAGGAAAACAGTTGTAAAGTTCCTAGCACAATATCGGGCACATAGTTAGTGTTCAATAAATGGAGGCCATTATTTTCTAAGAGTCATATATTTACCTGAGTATTGGAGGAAGATTCTTAGTTCTGGAATATTAGCCTTCAGGACTCACCTGTGACCCTCCACTGAGTGTAAAGTCAGCTCCCAGCAATGAGCCTGACATATTCTACAGTATTAGTGGTAATTCTAGCCAGGGTTAGCGTGGCATCAGGAAGAGATAAGGGCACAATAATAAACTTATTACCTTTTACTGAGTCCTTACTATATGCCAGGCAATGCATTCAGCTCCTACATACTTTTTTAAAAAAATATAACAGCTTTATTGAAATTTAATTCATATGCTGTACAATTCAGTCATTTGGAGTGCATAATTCAATGGTTTATCGTATATTCACAAGAGTTGTGCAGCCATCACCACAGTTAATTTTAGAATATTTTCATTACCCCATAAAGGAACCCCATAGCCATTATCAGTCATTCTCTCTTTTACCTCTCAACTTCCACTAGCCTTAGACAACCACTAATCCACTTTCTGTCTTCATAGATTTGCCTATTCTGGACATGTCACATAAATGGAACCATATATAACGTGTTCTTTTTGTGACTGGCTTCTTTCACTTAGCGTGTTTTCAAGGTCCATCCACATTGTAGCATGTATCAGTACTTTATTCCTTTTTCATGGTCAAATAATATTTCATAGATATGCCACATTTATTTATCTGTTCATCAGTTGAGGGACTTTTGGATTGTTTCTGCTTTTGGCTGTTATGAATAATGCTGCTATGGATGTTTGTGTACAAGTTTTTGTGTGGACATAATGTTTTCAATTTTCTTGGGTTTATATCTAGAAGTAAAATTGCTGGGTCATATAGTAAGTCTGTGTCTAACCTTTTGAGGAACTGACAGATTGTTATCCAAAGTAGCTGCACCATTTTGCATTTCTACCACCTGTGTATGAGGGATCCAGTTTCTCTGCATCCTTACTAGCACTTGATA